GGGAATTTAAACGGGTCTAGGAATACAGCGTCTGATTCAAGGATGACAAATGTGCATACAAAATGATGGTTTCTTTGTAGAAAAAATAACTAAATGTTTGTTAATGACTGAAGATTATATCGTTTAAAAACCACAGTTGTAAGAATTAAATTTTCTGAGAAAAAAGATTGGAAGCATTACTTTCGTATCGACTTTTGCAATTTTCTATTTTTACTTAATTAATGTTATGTTACTTTTTACGATAACAGAACCATCACAAGGAATAATATTAATACTTTGTTTCAATATTAAACTAACGATGTAATATTAAACTAACAATGCAATTACTTTCTTCTAAGAACGGCTATATATCAGTCGGATTTTGTATCCTTATGTCAGACGGCATTTGTAATTGTATCAAAATAATTACAAATGTTACAATTGTCATGCAAAACTGAAAAAAAACACATTTATTAATATTCACTGCATATAAAAAGTGTATTTTATCGAAATGTACCGTAAACTAAATTGTATTTTGTGAGCTGCTGTTAGTTTACTGTAAAATTAGAAACGAGAGACTATAGTATGCTAAACTAACAATAAGATAATTTTTTAGATAACCTTGTGTATTAATATAAATTATGATATAAGTATATATGTACAAATAAAATGGTAGAAAAAATGAATATTAAAATAGACCTTTTGAAGGCATTCATTGCCAAGATTGAACAGACCCATCCCAGTAAACTCTAATGGATTTTGCATTGTTTGTAAAGAAAATTGCTGAACCTGAAAATATATGTTGCATATTTAGAAAGTCATTTTAGATATTTTATTTTAGCTATATTACTGAATCTGTTTTAGTCAACTTCATATTATTATAATTTACAATAAACTTTCTTATTTTAAGAGTGTTTACCTCTTTCCAAACTGTACTATATTGAAGTGAATTTGCCAGTTGATGAATTATTTTCTTAATTTTGTTTGCCTGAAATTTATTATTTATTTTATTTTATCTATTGTTAATTTATTACTAATTTTAAATATACAAGGTGTCCCAAAAATTTTGACACAGCGGCCGTATGACGGTAGAGCAGACCAAACTGAACCGAAAAGTCCTCTACCATTTTACAATTTTCACAAGGGTTAAAGAGATATTAATTATTCAAGATTACCGAATATGAACGCACGGCTGAGATAATACCGCCTATAGACTACGGTCGCATGACGCGCCGCTCGCCGCCTCCCGCTCGCCGCTTGTCGCTCGCCGCTTATCCGCGCGCCTAGCGACCGTGTCTGTAGGCGGTCGTAT